ACCCCTCGCCCCCCCCCCTTCCCCCCAAATCTCCGTATTCTTTTTATGTTTGCTACTCTCTTGCAACATCTCTAATCTTCGGCAGTTATGATATGACCTTATTGTGTTGCAAGTACGTAAAACTCATTACAGTGGGTGGTTTGGTTAGCAGGTGCTCTGGTGTGATTTGCTCCTTCTTTCCTATCAAACATATATCGTCCTTATCTCCTCGCCTTCTATTTTGTGTTTGTTACTCTCTAGTAACACATATTCTAATCTTCGGCACTTATGTGACCTTTTTGTGTTGCAAGCGCCGTAAAACACTAACTAAAACTAAAACTATAAACTCTTTACTAAAACATAAACCCTCTTCCCCATCACCAGGTGATTGACGAAGGCCTGTGCCAGCTGCTGGACGCCTATGTGGTCGTGTTCTCCATCAACGACCACTCCTCTTTTGACCAAGCCCAGGAGCTGGTGCGCTACCTAAGAGTGGAAATGGGAACTGACCGGGTCATCGTACTGGTAGCCAACAAGATTGACCTGGTGCGCAAGCGAAAGGTCACGGCAGACGGTGAGTCTTTTTTTTAAAGTAAGAGATGTTGCACTTTCAACTTAATTAGATTATATAAGTGAGAAAAGAAGAAGTGTTATTTTAGAGTAATAAACAAAAGAAATACGGAGGAGAGATAAGGACTAAAGTTGTTTGAGCAAACCACACCAGAGCACCCGCCAACCAACCACATGTTGAGTCATAGAATTGCGAACATTCGTCACTATATCATATTATTACGAATGCTATGCTTGAACCATCAATAGCAAGATGCAAAAAGGATTGAACTGTTTTAGAAGGACTCTTAGAATAATATTGTGAAGACAGAAAATAAATAATGAACTAATATGAAGAATAAGCAGAGATAGGCAAACACTCCTCAAAAACAAAATGGAAGAGTTGAATTAATCTACTTTGGGCACATCAAACACCATGATTCTCTCGAGAGACATATTCTGGAAGCGAAGGTAGAAGGCAAGAGAGGAAGGGGAGTGCCTAACACAATGATGGCAAGTGAAAAATTGTTTTATTTCAGAAAGGTCCGAGCAGCAGTGTCCCAAACACTGGAAAAGCTTAAGCGAAGAAGGAAAACAAACAGAATTGTTTTTGGGCTTGTTTTGTATTGATAAAACAGAAGGGGATATCGTTACCTCTTTTTTTTTTTCTTGTTAAGTTTTAATGTGAATGACTTTGGTTATTTGGGGAGTTTTCCAGACCCTCAGCCTACTTCACTGGAGTCTGTGGCGTAGTTGTAAGCCACTTGCCAGTTACAAGCGGAAAACGTGGTTTTGATTCCCATGTGGGGAAATATTTATCCAGTATCTCCGTTTTTCGGATGGAAGTGGTATCCAAGTCAGTGTGGGTTGGCGTTGACAGGCAGGTTGGAAGCCCATCTCCTAAATGATCTCAACTATATTGATTGGGAGATTATAAAAGCAGCTATTTTATATTTAAGACTGTAAGTACGTGGATCAACCTACTTGCTTCAGTCCTATATGTGGCCTACGTTACATTTGGAAATCATGCTTCTCTAAAAAAAAAAATATTTTAAAAATATTTTAAAAACTACAAGAAAAAACCAATAATCCTACATTGTTAAAGGGGACGTTGAACCCACACCGTTTCTGAAATAAAAATTAGATTACAGATTGCCTTCTACCAGAACATCGGCATGTGTATCGAGACTTTGTGCGGATAAACATGATGTAGAAAGAGTCAGTTCTGCTTAACACTAAAGTGCAATATTGAATTAACTTAGAATGCTTTAAAAGAAAGGGATTCGATTAATTAGATTTTGATTTAGCTGAACGTCCCAGGGAACACGAGTTATCCATTTCGGTGCCAGAGCTCTAAGAAACCAAGATTATGTAGATAATTGCTTCCTGTGTTGTGAAGGTTCGATGTGGATGTGGTGACGGTGAGTGCAAGAATGGGGTTTGTTAAGTGGGTGGAAAAAAAAGGGGAGGAGGTAGTTTGATATGTTTCCCCATAAAAGCTGGAAAACGTATTGTGTTTCTAAATTAACATTACTAAAAGTTCACTCGCACGTGTGTGCTTACTTGATCGTCTTACTCACACACACACGCATTCACACACACACACACACACACACACACACACACACACACACACGCATACACGCAGGCACGCAAATATGCGCACTCATATAATTATATAAATTTAATAAACGTGCGTGTGTGTGTTTTTTTACAAGTTTAAGTAGAGGTTTTACTGCCCTTGCAACTGCATAAGGTTATATGAACGCCAGTACGTGTGTGTGTGGTTATGTGAGGCATCGTGGTGAAATCAGGTACTCGTCAAAATAATGAAATCAATGAAACAGGCATTTTTCCGTCAGATATGCAGTTTAAAAAAAATTGAATTATAGTTTTTTTTGCTCAAGACCTTTATGTCCATAAAACACATCCATGTGAATTTTACTGAAAAAAAGGGACTGGAGGCACAAAATTCTAAGTCAAAATTATATATTTTTTCTGTTTTCAAGGACTGTCAAGCTGTTGGTTCTAAAGTTTCCACGGCAGCCATTTTATGCTAATTTTACCACTGAAACCAGATGACTCCACCTCCTTCAATCTATTCAAGATAGAGGGATATTTTTTTTCATTAATAAAAAAGCAAGGCAATAGAATTTATAAGCTTTCAGATGATACCATAGTTACTCCACATGGCCAAAAATGGAGTGGCGCTTGATTCCACCATGTCGTGACACTTTTTGTCAATTTGATCAAATGTTTTCTTCACATGACATGAATTCAAAACGACCATTTTTTCCATCAACAAGTTTGAGTTCATCGGATAGCTAAATTGAAAGGTTGAAGGGTGCTTTCGGTGTGAAAATGGGTATGGAAGTGGAAGAAAAGCTGCACGCAATCATGTTTGAGTCAGAGGTCCTCAAGGTGATAGACTTCTCCTCTGTGTTCTGGGGCGTGGCCAGAATCAAAAGCGGACCAACTTTTCTCTCTATTCTAATTTAGTTGTTTGTTTTTTTTAAATGCTCATAGTGTTTTAGCAATTAGTTGAAATAATATTTGTGATTGGAACCGCTTTGCTTCGTCGGCTTGTCAATTCAAAACTTGTCTTTGTGAAAATATCTCGCATTTAAATTTAGTAGCTTAAAAATTTTTTTTAGAATGCTCTTAGCCTCTAAAACGATACTTTAACATGTTTTCAGTTTGATTCTTTGTTTATTTGAAGTAGTGAGTGTGATCATGTCATACATTGTGATGGTTCATATAATTTGTTTGAAGTTTTTTCCCTCCTTGACAGGAGATCTTTCTTTATCATCTATTCTATGAAATGGCATGTTGAAGTGACATGAGCTCAGCTCTATGAAACTGCTTTTGCTCTAAAATTGACTGTACTAAATTTCTTTGCTCTTTCAGTTTCAGGTCATGTTCTTTTTATTTCATATATAAAATTACAGCTCACTATAGATATCTAATAATCTATGTTTTCTGGTTGGCATAGTTTGGTATCATGTGAGTGGTTTGCGTCTGCTCTGGTGTCACAGTGTGGCTTGCTCTTTCTTTCTTCTAACCATCATCTATCATCTTCATCGCCCCTCCTCCTTTTCTTTGAATGTTACTCTTCAGAAGAACATCTCTTGTCTTCGGCTATCATCTCCTATTTTGATACTTTTAGTTTTCTTTATCAATGGCCTAATCGTGCTGCAAGTACATTAAAGTAACATTTGTACTGGGAAACTCTTACTAAAACCACTAAAGCTAAAGGTTTTGGTGTGGATATTCACTGAGTGTGAGTCTTGTCGTATAAGCATTATTAGTGGGTGGTTGGCGGGTGCTCTGGTGTGGTTTGCTCCTTCTTTCCTATCAAACATCTATCATCCTTATCTCCCCTTCTTTTTTTAAATGTTTGTTACTCTCTTGTAAGACCTCTAATCTTTTGACGCTCATATGACCTTATGCTGTTGCGACCGCCGTAAAACATCTAGTAAAACTAAACTAAAAGCATTTTTAGTCCTGTATCGACCTTCTCCAGTAGCAGAGAGCTAAAGTAGGGGTGGAGAGCTCTGACAACTCCCTGAACCCTGAAACTTCCAAACTTCAATAGTAGGCCAAGTTGGCAATCCGAATCAGGATCATCAATCTGTAGGCTACACTGCTCTAAGAAGACAGTAGAACACGACTACAGCTGCACCCGCTACAGCAGGACCATCCAACAGCGGGACCTTACCATAATCCTCTTTATTGTTTCTCTGCTCTATGTAAACTCAATTACCTGTGCTCTGGTTAAGCGGGGCAAGAAGAGGCCCGAACTCGGAAACAGCTGGAGAGATCGAGTGAGCTCTAGCTTGGGGGAAGGGGGGG